TTTGCGGTACGCGGGCCTCTCACTGTTGTGGCCTCTCCCGTTGCGGAGCACAGGCTCCGGATGCGCAGGCTCAGCGGCCATGGCTCACGGGCCCAGCCGCTCCGCGGCATGTGGGATCTTCCCAGACCGGGGCACGAACCCGTGTCCCCTGCATCGGCAGGCGGACTCTCAACCACGCTTCTCTTCCTCTTTACGACCTCTTCTCTTTTTGCTCTTACTTCGTTATTAAAGTACATTTGTGACACACCCAGCCAACTTTCAACAGATACTTCCTGGAAGCTTCCATATGAAAAAAAAAAAAAAAAAAAAAAAGACCTTCCTCAAAAATTCTAGATATACCAATTACTGGCTGGGAATTCAGCAAATTATTTTTAAAACTTTGAGTATCAGTTTCTTTATCTGTAAAATAGAGGTAGAAATATTTACTATGCAGCGTTATTGTAATTTGTATACAGTGTCTAGCAAATTGCCTGGCTCCTAGTAGGTGTTCTCTAAATGCTAGTTCCTCCTTTTATTTATCTTTTGTCTTCAGCACTCATTTCAGTGCAGACAAATAATAGGAATTCATGAATGTGTGTTGAATTGAATATAAAATTGTAATATACCATCAAATGGGAACATTTAATTAGCTGTATTATCTATACATCTAGTAAAATACTGTTTGAACTCCAGTTAGATTTTTAAAAAGAAGCTAAGTAGCTCTTCCTGCTTACGTGGCCTAAAGGCGCCATTTTCTTTCAATCTGTACTAAAATAAGAATCTCCTGGAAAGGTAAATCAGATTGGTTCCATAGAGCCATATAATTATGTTGTGTTAATTTATAGGAAAACTCCTTTTAATTACCTATCTTAAAAGTTTTTTACTCTAAATCCATATGTACTTATATAACTAAGTGGACATCCTGGTCGTTTTGACACTGGGTTTTTAAGGAAAAGATCTGCATAGCCATGTGCATCTCCAAAGTATTTATGTAGATCCTTGTAATTACTTTATAAATCCTCTTTGCATACACTTCATCTGTAAGTCTTATTACAGTTATTCATTGTGGAGAACGTAGAGGTCCTTATACCATTCTCAAAAAATGAATGTCCTGGGACTTCTTGGTGGTGCAGTGGTTAAGAATCTGCCTTCCAAAGCAGGGGGCATGGGTCCAATCCCTGGTCCGGGAAGATTCCACATGCCACGGAGCAACTAAGCCCGTGCACCACAACTACTGAGCCTGCGCTCTAGAGCCTGCGAGCCACAACTACTGAAGCCCACGCTCCACAACTACTGAAACCTGCGTGCCTAGAGCCTGTGCTCTGCACACAATAAGAGAAGCCACTGCAATGAGAAGCCTGTGCACTGCAACAAAGAGTAGCCCCCACTCGCCGCAACTAGAGAAAGCCCGCCACAGCAACAAAGACCCAACACAGCCAAAAATAAATGAATAAAAAATAAAATAAATTTATAAAAAAAAGAATGTCCCATAATTCCAGTACTCTGTCTTATATGGCCAAGTGCTCATTTAGCTCTGTTTAGAGATCATTAAAAAATAATAGGCAAGAACTTCTGTTGAATTTAAAAATAATATTTAGTAAATAATGACAAATGTTGATATAAATGTAGTATAAAATCTTCATGTCTAAGAAAAATAATATTAAACAACTAATATTAAAAATTTTGGTAGCTAAATAACATTCCAGGAGCTGATCTATTGTATTGATAATTTGCATAATATTTGAATTGCAAAAAACTCTTCAATTTAATGAGTACAGTCCTTTTTCACTTAAGTGTCCTGTAAAAACCTAAAGGTTTTCCAACCAAATGAATTCTGTTTAGAATTTTGTTCAGAAAATACTTCCCAGAGCATAAAGTTTGAATTATATATCCTTGTAAAGGCTGATTTTTTTTTAAAGTTAACCCTTTAAAAATTAAATCTCAAAGACTTAAAGGCATTGTTATTCTACTTTAATTTTGCTGAGTGGAAATCTTTTAATCAAGAATATTACAAGTGGGCCTTTACATTTCTCATTGTCATTAACCTACTGAACGGTTCATGCCTGTTAAACTACTGTGTCAGGGCCTGCCTTATATGTCCATAAAAAAAGATATTCCATGAGTAAGACCAAAATGTTATCTTAACATAAACTTTCATTACTGTAATATTTTAGTTTTAATTCTGTAACATTTCGTTTTTTGACATTCACTAGTGTTGTGTATGTTTCTCTAATAAATTTTCAAAGAGCTTATTGAGGTGTAATTGACATACAATAAATAGCACATATTTAAAGGATACAATTTTTAAAATACTGACATACGTATACATCTGTAAAATCACCACCCCAACAATATAATTAACATTTCCATCACACCCCAAATTTCCTCCTCCCCTTTTTCATCTCTCCCTGCCATCCCTGTCCCAATCCCTCCCTTTCCCAGGCAACTGATTTCTTTAGATTATTATAGATTAGTTGGCTTTTCCTACAGTTTTATATATATGGAATCACACAGTATGGTACTCTTTTTTTTGAGGGGTAAGAGGGTTTTGCCTCTTTTACCCCATATAATTATTTTGGGATTCATCTATTTTTTTGTGTGTATGAATAGTTTATCTTTTTTATTGCTGAGTAGTATTTCATTATACAGATATGGCACAATTTATCCATTCATCTAATGATGGACATTTGGATTGCTTCTAGTTTTTGGCTGTTACAGATAAAGCTACAATTTTAGCTATTATGATAAAGCTGCTATAAACATCAAGTGTATTTAAAAAATTATTTCATTTTTGATTTTTACTACTTACTGGCAACCATGGCTGTCAACTCTTATCGTATAGCAATGTTTTTATGCACCTTCCCCAGCAACTTTGTAATTAGGGAAGACTATGAAAATACCTAATTTTAAACCCATTTCCTGCATTTTACCCATTTTGCTCATTCGAGGTATTGATTATAGGAAAAAAAGATCTCATTTTGAAGAGATCCTGGTTAGCATTATCTTACCTTTTATAATATCTGGCTAGCATTATCCCACCTTTTATAATATCACTAAATAAAAATTTCAAATGTAACTGAATTTAAAGCCTGCATTATCTTACCTTTTATAATATCACTAAATAAAAATTTTAAGTGTAACTGAATTTAAAGCCTGTAGTCCTTAATTAACCAAAGAGCTTACGCAAATACTTTCTTCACTATAATGATGTTATGATGAATATTTTTCTAAAGAGAATAAATGTTTCCTAATGACCATATTTTATTTCCATAAGTAAATGTGGCAGTTGAAATCTTAGTTATCAAATTTTCTTTAAACAAGGAAATATAGAAAGGATCCCTTAATGCAATACTTAAAAAGAAAAATTGAGACACAAACTAACTTGTGATTTTTATAATTTGGAAAACTTTTTACTGTTCTCATTTTTATACTTTTTTATTTTTTAAATCTCATTACTTTATAGAATTGACTTTTTAAAGGAATATTTAATTAATTTATTTATTTAGGCTGTGCCACACAGCTTGTGAGATCTTAGTTCCCCGACCAGAGATTGAACCTGGGTCTTTGGCAGTGAGAGCGTAGAGTCCTAAACTGCTGAACTGCCAGGGAATTCCTTAAAAGGTATGTTTTATATGCAATAAAAATTCAACCTCCTGAAAAGAATATTCCAAGTCTCCATTACTAACAAAAAGTATGCAAAGCTTAAAATTTGTTTCTCCTTTCCATTTATTTATTCTTAACAATATGTGTGTTTATGTGTGTGTATATGCGTATGAATATACATACACCATGGCACATATACATATATATAAAAAACTCTATTATAAGGCAACAAAAAGTATCTGTATGATATATAATTACATTAACTTTACAGTCTATTAAGAATGGAGTTTTAATTTTTAGGTAGTTTCTTGGAAAGTGGGCTTAATGTTATTTACTTTAATGGAAATATATCAACTTGATATAAATGCATGCACAGTTCTGTCTGTTGATGTGTTTTCTTAAATGGCAAACTGTGTTACACAGCATTCTGTACTGAGAACTTTTATTATAGATGAGAAAAGGAAACTATAATTTGTTTTCCAGTAGAATCTGTATGTTCAAATATTAAATACTTTTAAATAGATCTTCTTTTTATGTTGAATTTTTGATTTAGGATCATTCGTGATATCTTCCAAATTCTTTTCTTGCTTTTTATTATAGTTTTTTTGTTTGTTTGTTTGTTTTTTGTGGTACGCGGGCCTCTCACTGTTGTGGCCTCTCCCGTTGCGAAGCACAGGTTCCACACACACAGGCTCAGCGGCCATGGCTCACGGGCCCAGCCGCTCCGCGGCATCTGGGATCTTCCCAGACTGGGGCACGAACCCGTGTCCCCTGTATCGGCAGGCGGACTCTCAACCACTGCGCCACCAGCGAAGCCCTTTATTATACTTTAAAGCTAATTTGATTGAATGCCTTTTGATATTCTTTCTGTGATTGTTAATTTTTTCTGTTATTAAGAATGTAATAAATTTTTTATAGTACCAGAATAGAGATCAATTTTGGTTATTTTTCTTCTCTTTTGCTTCTTTATCTTTTTCATCAGTAGAAAGCTTTATTTGCCAGGCTAAAATATAAGCTAACATTATGATTTAGGTGAAGTGAAAAGCTAATACTAATTTTTTCTTTCAGATCTCTATAAAAATGGACTCCAAAGAGCTAACTTTGTACCATTCATAGCTGTCCTGAAGGTAAGGAAAATTAGTTACTTATGTTCAGTGACTAATATCATATTGATTGATAATGAAGGGCTTTTACAGGATTGCTATGGTCTTGCATTCAAGCAGAATTTATTTTGTTATTTGATGGTAATAGTTAAAGACTCTAAAGGAGAAAAGAATCTTTTTTATATAGTATTCATCAATATGTGCACAGGAAAAATTACAAAATATAGTCTAAATTATTGTCCAGCTGCAGCATTTGATAGTTTGCATTTTATAAATTTTAATTTGAAGTTTGCTTGTAAATTATAAGTGGAATGTTTCAACTTATACATTGATTTCTGAAAAAATGTTTAATGTTCCTTGTTTCCTTCAGGTTAATGGCCATTAACATGTTTTCCCAGCTATTAAAGTTGCTATTTTGGAGTAGCATTATTACAAAAATATTGTAATATATTTAAATGTGATTGCCATCAAGTTATCATGAAATTATGTCAGGTTGAGGTACATAAATAGTTTATTTGTGTGTATCATCACTGCATAGAGTTTACAATAGGCTTCATTACAATATGATGAAGAATAAAGTAGCCTTCTTTTTCACTGTTAATTTTAGTAATTTTTTTACACGATTATTCAATAATTCTACATTCTACCAATATTTATTGGGAGCCTACTATGTGCAAAGTGCTACATTAGGCATAATGGATAATATAATCATTAAGTAGGTTGTGTTTCTTGCTTGCAAGTCATTTATAATCTGGTTGGGCATATACTATGTACATAGGTACCTATAATACAAAGCAAAATGTTTTTGGTAAAATAATTCCCAAAAAGAAGCGTATATGCCAAAATATAATTCCTGTAATTCTCAGGCACATTTTTCCCTGTCCATAACAACATATCTAAAGAAAGGATAGAATTGTATTTTTTTTTTAAAAAGACCTAAAACCTCAAAAATTCTTATCAAGAAGAAGGAGTAAAAACATTTTATATTCACATATTCTGAAGATGTAGTCAGACAATCTTTTTGAAATATACTTTAGTTGGAGCTATTGTTAGTGCCAAACTTTATTCCCTGTGCTATTCAAACATCTGTTTCCTTGACCAATTTTAGGTTCCCAGAAGATTTTAGTTTCTCTGAGATGGTTTCAGATGTAGGAAAAAGTACTTTTTGAAGATTTATGCTGTTAGTAATTTTTTCCCCTTTGTATTCATGTTTTACATTTGAGGAGAAGGTAGATTTGCAATGTTTTCTCCATGCCAGGAATCCAAAGTAATGTGGTGTATGTAGATACCAAAATATAAACAGGGAAGCTAAGAAAAATAGATGCTAAAAATAGTTTCTTCATGTAGCATAAAATACACAAAATATAAAGAGATGGCTCACAAATGAAACAAGCTAAAAGATTCTCAGGGAGCTTTGTAGCTGTACTTTTTTAACCCCAAACCTTATTTTTTGGTCAGTTATTTGTCATACTTTAACATATAATAGCATTACTAATAGACAACTAAATTGACCAGATTGAATTTAATTCCCTTTCCCTTTCCCACCCTTAATTTTTTTTTAAAGAGGAAGAAAAACCAAAGAGATGAATAATTTGATTTGAGATCCAACAAGATCTGAGATAATACACAATTTTTTTTTTTTTTTTTTTTTTTTTTTGCGGTACGCAGGCCTCTCACAGTTGTGGCCTCTCCTGCTGTGGAGCACAGGCTCCGGACATGCAGGCTCAGCGTCCATGGCTCATGGGCCCAGCCGCTCCGCGGCACGTGGGATCTTCCCGGACCCGGGGCACGAACCTGTGTCCCCTGCATCGGCAGGCAGACTCTCAACCACTGCACCACCAGGGAAGCCTGATAATACACAATTTGAAATTAAATATGAACTGAAATTTCCAGGAAACTAAATACCAGATTGGATGAGAAAATATCTAAAATGTCTCATTTATTTAAAAGACTTTTCACATGTAACAAAACATCAGTCTGATGAAATGTACACTAGAGCTGGTTTCCCTGGAGCTTTTTTGGTGGGCGTATGAAGTTTCCCTTGTAAAGCAAAGTTGTTTCATATTCATTTTACCTATTCACCCATGCTAGCGTTACTCTTTCATTTTGGCCCAGCTGAGAGACATGTATAGTAGAAGTGGAAATACTAAATATCAAAACTTTGTTTTAAGATAGACTTAAAACAAATAGAGGATCTTAGTTTAATAAAAAGAGATTATAAACAAGATAGAAATTTATTTTGGGGAAAAGTACAGTGTAAAATCCTTTTTCTCCCTTACGTTTTTCTCTGTAAACTGAGTGATAACAAGTTTGTAATTCACCACAAGAATTTGTGATTTGTTGCTTGGAATATTGCAAAATGGCCAAAAACTTATGTAAGCTATTAGTGAACAGTATTTTCATAAGATAGTAAGAATGATGAGGAGGACTAATATGTTATTAAAAGCCATAGGTCTGGGACTTCCCTGGTGGTCCAATGGTTAAGAGTCCGCCTTCCAATGCAGGGGACACAGGTTCAATCCCTGGTCGGGGAGCTAAGATCCCACATGCTGCGGGGCAACTAAGCCCGCACGCTTTAGAGCCCAGGCGCTACAACTAGAGAGAAGCCTGCACGCCACAATGAAGATCCCGCATGCTGCAACTAAGACCCGATGCAGCCAAATAAATAAATATTAAAAATAATACAAGCCATAGGTCCATCAACAGATGAATAAACAAAATATAATATATTCATATAATGAAAATATTGTTCTGCCATAAAAAGGAGTGAAATTCTGATGTGATACATTATGGATAAACCTTGAAAACATGTTAGGTGAGATAAGCCAGATACAAAAAGACAAATATTATATGATTCCACTTATATGAGGTACCTAGGAAAGGCAAATTGATAGAGACAGAAAGTAAAATAGAGGTTACCAGGGGCTGGGAGGAAAGGGGAATAGGGAGTTATTGTTTCGTGGGTGCAGAGTCTCTGTTTAGGATGACGAAAAGTTCTGGAAATGGATAATGGTGATGGTTGCATAACATTGTGAATGTACCTAATGCCAAAATGCAGGCAGATTCTTAACCACTGTGCCAGCAGGTAAGTCCCCTTCATTGTGTTTTGATGTGCATTTCTTAAATGATTAGTGATATTGAGCATCTTTTCCTGTGCTTCTTGGCCATTTGCATATCTTCTTTGTGGATCTTATTTAAACTTTCTGTTTTAACTGGCTATTTGGACACTCTTCCGGAAGGAGGAGAGACACTGCCTTGTTACTGCCAGACATAGGTAGACGTCTGGGTTCCCTATTCAGCCTATTGACACCTGAGGCAAGGGTACTCCATGTTACTGCTGGTGGAGGGGTTTAATTTCTATTGACATTGTGGGGATGGGGAGGATGCTCATTATTGACTGGCAGGGATGAAAGTTCCGGCTCCCTACGTGGCCTTCCATCTCTTTTTTTTTTGCCTCACCGCGCGGCATATGTGGGACCTAAGTTCCCAACAAGGGATCGAACCCACATCCCCTGCACTGGAAGTGCAAAGTCTAAACCACTGAACCACCAGGGAAGGCCCTGGCCTTCCTTCTTTGACATTAGCCTGGCAGGAGTGTTTGTGGGCCTCATTACATCCTTGTGAGATTTTAATTCAAGGCTCCCTTCAGCCTTTGCTAGAATGGGTGGAGGTGGCACCACAGTTTTCTGTGGTGTTTGCTGCAGTAGAACTGTTATCGTCTAAAAGTTTTCTTTCTTGTTACACTGCCATTTTCCTGGTCCTTTGGCTAAAGAGAGCAGGCTTTTGTTGGAGCCTGATTTGTCTGTGTCAGTTGGCATTTCTGGGTCGCCGGCTTCTTCACTTCTAAGTCTGAGATATATGAGTCAAAAGAAGACTAGAGAACTCACCATTCTATTGTTATTCAGGTCTTGAGGTCCTTCGCTGTTTTTCTTTCTTTCTACTATTCGGTGTTTTCTTATGTTTGTTTTATATATAATTTCCAGGATTTTAAATTGTACATAGCAGGAGGAACAGGGGAATGTACAGCTACTCTGTCTTCCCAAAAGCAGAAGTCAGTTTATTAGCAGAATTGTCTGCTAATTCTGTCATCTCTTGTCATTTCTGATTTTGTTTCTATGGTCTGATTTTTTTTCCTGGTTGTGGGTCCTATTTTCCTGCTTCTTTGCAAGTTTAGTAATTTGTGATGGGATGATGGACATTGTGATTATTGCACTGAGTCTCTGTTATTTCCTTTAAGACTGTTGACTTTTATTGGCAAGTGTTTTTTTCTTGCAGGTCATCCTGATCCTTCTGAGGCTTGTTTTTAAAATTTGTTATTGTGTCTAGTGTAACCTTTACTCTAGGACTATATTTTAACCTTTCTTCTGGATGTCACCCTTATAGGTTCTCTACTGAATCCCCCCTCTTAGTGTTCACTGAAGTCTCTCTACTCTGGCTGTTCAGAATGCTTACATCTCCCAGCTTTGTGTGGATTGTTCTCCGCCCAGTCTTGTCAAGTTTCATCATATACATGTGCAATTTTACATTCAACTAAAGATTACAGACCTTTTCTATGTAGATTATCTGAAGCTCTTTCTCTGTATAACTTCCTCCTTACTGAACTGTACCATACAAATTACAACTGCCTCAGCTTTCCAAAACCCTGATATTGTCTCCTCAACTCATTTAGACTGCTGTGCTGAAGTCTAGAAATTGCCTCTAGATGGAAAGCCAGGGGAAATATAGTACTTGCTTGCCTAATTTACTTCCCACGTCTCAGGGAAACATCAGATGTTTCACATGTTTTATCCAGTGTTTTAGTGATTTATGGCAGGAGGGCAAAATTGAGTTTCAGCTACTCTGCCTTGGTCAAAAGCATTAGTCTTTTTCTTAGTTTTTAGTTGTAAAGAAGAATAATGCAGGATTTTTTTTTTTTTTTTTTTTTTGTAATTTGGGAACTCAGAGCCATATTTTTCCATAGATACAAAAATATAAATAGGATAACTATTAAAAAAAAACAGTGATGGGCACGTCTTTCTCTCCCA